AAGTTATCAAATTTTATACACACACACGCAGAAGTAGTTTACCAGTTCCCATAATGTTGCAGATCTAGAATTTCCAATAAAGTACCCATGGCACAAATATAGTAACTAAATGTCAAATTACTTAAATGTAATTTTAATTACTTAAATTTAAAGAAATTTATTTCCTAAATTAAAATAGCCACACAAAAAAACAACAAAAACAAAAAAAAGCCGAGCATAGTGGCACACGCCTATAATCTTAGCACTCGGGAGGCTGAGGCAGGAGGATTGTTGTCACTTCAAGACCAGCCTGTGCTACAAAGTGAGCTCAAGGTCAGCTTGAATGACATAGTAAGACACTGTCTCAAAAAGATAAAAAACAAAACAAAACAAAATAGCCACTATTTCCATTTACAAGAGAAGTTCTATTGAGTAGCACTGTTCTACATTATATCAATTAAAGTATGTGACAACAAATACATGATTTAATTCTGAATACACTGGAGACATGCCCATTTATGATAAAATTCTATGCAAAGTATAAGTAATAGCAGTTTATAATGTAAGAAAAATATAAAGTCACATAAAATTAGAAAGGAAAAACTAACCTATTTTTGTTCATAGACAACATAATTATACAGAAAATCTCAAAGAACTTTTAAAAATCTGTTAAATGAATTTAGCAAGGTTCAGTATACTAAATGAAGTGCAAAACTGGAGTTTTTTTTTTCCTTCTCACTAGGAGCAAATAAGTGGAAATTGAAAATTGTTGCAAGTTTGAAAGCAGCCTGGACTACAAACTGAGCTCAAGGCCAACCTGAAATGCATAGCAAGGCCCTGTCTCAAAAAGACAAAAAAAGATTAAGTGGAAAAATGCATCTATGATATCCCTTGATTAAGGCTCAAGGCTCTTAAGATATCTCTTTTTCCAAAACTGATCTACAGATTCTATACAATCTCAAGCAAAACCCAGTGGCCTTCCTTCCAGCTGATTCTAAAATTTATATGGAAAAGTTAGCCAACTATTTTGAAAAACAGAGCAAATTTGGAGAGCTCATATATAGAATCTAGAAATAAATCATACATATATGATCAATTGTGTGAGAAGGTAATGCAATGGGGAAAAATGTACAAGGCTCTACACAGTGGTATATGCATGTAGTCCTACTACTTGGGAGGCTGAGGCAGGAAAACTGCCACAAGTTCAAGGCCAGCCTGGGTTAAATGATAAGATCCTGTCTCTGAAAAGCAAAAAAAAAAAGAAAAAAAAGCAAGATGCTCAACAAATGCTAATGGAACAACTAACTGGATATCAACATGTAAAAAACAAACTCAACCTAAATCAAAGATAATATAAAAATTAACTGAAAATGGATAAAAAATATAAAATAGAACTATAAAACTTATGAGACAAAAATATGGGAAAAATCTTTCTGATCTTCTGTTAGGCAAGAAATTCTTTTCTTTCTTTTTTTTGATCTTTTCTTAAGGCAGGGTTTCCCTATATGGTTCAGATTGGCCTCAAACTCACAATGATCATCTTGCCTCAACTTCCTGTGTACTGGGATTACAGGGTTGTGCCACCACATCCATCTCCAAGAACTTCTTGAAAATATACAAAAAGCATAAACTTTAATATGACAAAAATGATACATAGAGCATCACAGAAAACTCTGTTATAACTAGGAATTGTGGTACACACCTGTAATCCCAGCACTCTAGAGGCTAAGGCAAGATAATCTTAAATTTGGGCTCAATCTGTGCAACTTAGCAGTTTATGGAGATCCTATCTGAAAATAAGATATGAAAAAAGGCTAGGCACATATGTAGCTGAATACCCAGTTCCACCAAAAGAGGAAAAAACTTCTGTTCTTTGAAAGATACTTTAAAAATGTAAGACAAATACAGACTAACAGAAAATATTTGCAAAATACAAAACTTATACCCAAAATACATTAAATACTCTAAAAACTGAACAAGAAAAAATACAAATTTTTATAAATGGGTAAAAGGAATAAATAGATAACTTCACTACAGCAGATATGTAAATTAGATATGTACAATGAAATATATCAACATACAGTACCAGAAACTTGGTGTAATATTAAGCAACTGGAAACTCATATATTGCTGGTGGGAATATAAAATGGGACAGCTATTTTACAAATTTTGTCAACTTCTTATGAAATGAAACCTGTGCCTATCATATGTCAAATGATTCTACTATCTAGATACCTAATCCTCCAAAATGAAAGCACATGTTTGTTAAAAGACCTATACATCAATGCTTAGAGTAATAGTCAAAATCTGGAAGCAAATTGTCTATCAATTGATAAATGAATAAGCAAATTGTGATATTTACACAACAGAATAGTATACAGTTAATAAAACATAAAATGACACACACAAATCTCAAAAAATATGTTCCATGTAAAATCTGTTAAGACAAAAAAGCTGCACACTGTATAATTTAATTTAGATGGCATTCTAAATTAAGGAAAAATATATTCACAGAAAAAATTAGTTTTAAGAGGGATATTGAGGAAGTAATAGAAATCTAGAATTTTTATTGGCTGGTGGTTACACAAATGTATACATTGACAAAAGTCACTGAACTGCACACTTAAAACTGGAGAAACTTACTTTATATCAATTATATCTCAATATACTTGATTTAAATATAAACGCAATATAACTCTTCTTTTTCTTTGAAATTCTGTAAATGTATATCTATCATACCAAGGAAGTTTGGTAACATCTGACTATGTTCATGACACAGAAATAGAGTGAAAGATAAACAACATGAATTCTCTGGGCTTTGAATTTCTGTATTGTAAACAGAAAGGCTTATAATACATTTCCCAAATCTATTCCCAGGAAACTTTCAGAATCTTTGTAGGTATATTCTGGGAAAATATTTCTAAGGTCAAAGTACTTGAGAAATGTTCTCCCAAAACATAACTCACAAGACATTTTAACACAAAGAGCTCTAAGCAATCCTATATTCCTTAAATTTTTCCAGTTTTTAAATGTACAGTTTCCCACAATTAGTTGACATGGAACCTTGTATTTTAAGAAATGTTGTAAAGGATATTATAGTTCTGTGATTCTTTTATAAAACCTTCAAAATTTATCTTTATGATTAACTTTTGCATAGACTGGCAAACAATAAAATTGATTTAAAGTGGCTATGGAGAACAGCACCCTATAATGAGAAAATTGCCTAAAATTACAAATTTAAAATATTTCATATTTATCTTTTCAAGCATTTTTTTTGAAACAGGGTCACACTCTATAGTCCAGGCTGGCTTTGAATTTGTAGCAATCATACTGCCTTAGCCTCCAGAGTGCTACAGTTACAGGTGTAAACTACCACTCATTTCATACTCATTTTGACTACTTTATTAGTCAAATCTTGAGTTTTTATCAGCCTCCAAATTCTAAATCTCTAAAATATAGGCACTACATTTGGACTGGTATGTACTACATGAAAACAAATGATAGAGTTACTTCTACTTGAAAAGCTTCTCTCTAAAAAATACAATAGATTTTAAGAATTTAAAAGGAATGACAGGGATACTACAATTCCTAAACAATTACTAAAATTAACTTAACCACATCAGTGTTAAAGAGTTCACTGAATAAAGCCAGAAGTCTGAAAAAATATGCTTAGTTAAAAAAGACAGAAAAAAGAAAGGATAAAGAAAATCTGAAGCTAATACTCTAAAGGTTGCTCTTCAGATATAACCTTAAAGGAAATATAACACACTACAAAACAATGTCAATATTACAGCTAAAAAATCATTTTCTTGAACATAAAAACACAAGTAAGAATATCTATTTTAATTCACTAAATTATAAATAAAGCTTTAAGGGGAAGTGAAAGTGCAAATTCTGACAAATTCCACCCCTAAAACTAAAAAAAAAATGTTGGTTAATACCACATTAAATTACACAAAACCCAGGGATCTTTTTTTTCAAGTACCATCCAGGCCACTGAGGAATATTATTAGCAATATAATTCTGAGTATCCAATTTCCTTTAATAGGCCTAATCAATGTTCAATCAATGGTTTCCTATAAAAACATTTTAAAATCACTGATAGCCTCAATTCAATTTCTGAGAGAAAATAAGTTTTATGAGTTTATTATATACATACAACATTATTCCTATAAAATTTCAGTTTGACAAAATTATTTAATTTTTAAAGTACGACAAAATAGAGAAGCAGAATGGTATTCATTCATCCAACATGTTGGTACTGAAAATATTCTATGAAAAATAAATTTATTAAGAATAGTTTATGTGCCTAGATGTCCTTGGGAATTACTACTAGTATTTCTTCAAAATGGTCTGGACACAGCTAGTCCAAGAATAATCTGAATGGGACATGTGAATTTCAGTAAACCAGAATGGTGGGGGAGCTTAAAGACATATAAAATGTATAACATCATTACAAGTTTGGCAAACAAATACAATATAAGCAGAATACAGGTTTGCTTATTTCTAAAAGCTATCTTTATATAGTTCCCTAGAAAACATTTTATGAAACACAACACAAAATACGTAAATAGACAACCAAAGGGCTAAAAACACCTGAAATATAATGTAGAAAAATGAAAGAAACACTTTTGCTAAAAGAGCAACAAAATTTTAAAAAATATCATCTCTTACAAAAGCATGATTTGATTTGCTTTAAATAAATATTCCTTAAGTTCTGCACCAATTAAGAAACTCTTCATTATGTAAACAGTTTAAAATTCAAATGTAGGCTGGGCATGGTGACATACTCCCATAAACCCAGCACTTGAGAGGTTGAGGCAGGAGGATCACTGCAAATTCTAGGCCAACCTGGGCTACATAGTAAATTCAAGGCCACTCTGAAATGCATAATGAGATCCTGTCTCAAAAAGATAAAAAAAATAAAATTCAAATTTAACTCTTGGCCTATTTTTAGCTTTATTGATTTCAGGAAAGAATAAATCAAGAATATGTTTATAACTCACATGGATATTACTTACCCACATTTGGAGGTTTCACATAATTTACAGGTAGTTCTGGAGGTCTGCCTCTATGCAATGCTGCAAAAGCAGACCCATTCCATAGTGTACTCTTACAGTCTATAAAAAAAAAAAAAAAAAACAGTGAAAGTTTGCCAAGGAAGAAAGCAGTGTTATTTTATTTGTTTTGTTTTATGTTGTGCCTCAAAGGCACATGTCTACCTTCAATTTCATTTGTTATAGTATATTTTACTTGTTAAAGCTACAATAAAATAATGTTCATACATTAAACATGTAATAAAATAAATTATACTGGCAACCACTAACACCTTAACATATTACAGGATACTTTATTTCTATGCTAGCCTCAAACTAAAGCTTATGTTATGCATATGTTTGAATTTTAAGTAACTGTGTCATCAATTAATATTTTAAATTTACATTGGTCATCTTGATCTTTAGGTTTATACATACTTACAAAACTGTAACACCAATAATTCAATAATACAATCAAAGCATATTTTATAGTATCCTTGAACTACAAAATGAGATGTTTAAAACCCAGCACCATTTATGCTACTTATCTTGTGGAATTACAATGTATTACAACAGTACATTAATAAAACAAAACAAAAATAAATTGGTTGTGGGCTGGGGATATAGCTCAGTGGCACAGCACCTGCTTGGCAAGCCTGAGGTCCAGGGTTTGATTGCTGGTACCAAATAAATAAATAAATAAATCGGTTGCTATATCTGAAGTGATTAATGATTTTAAGAGGAATACTTAATACATAATTTCATATTTTTGTATGCATAAATTATTACTGTATATGTTACATTTATTAGAAATCCATACAAACACAGAAAAAAATTGCAAAAAAACAATAAATTGTTACTGAACAACCACTGATGGGTTAACACTTTTGCTTAAATATTTTCAATTGTTTTTTTTTTTTTTTTTTGGTACTGGGGATTCAACTCACCACCTCACGCTTGTCAGGCAGGCATTGTGCCACTGAGCTATATCCCAGGCCTCAAAATTTTCAATTATAAAACTTTACACTTCAGGGTGATGGGGCACATCTGTAATTATAGCTATTCAAGAGGCTAAGTTAAAAGAATTCCAAGTTCAAGGCCAGATTGGGTAACTTAGTGAGACATTATCTCAAAATGAAGTGAAAATAGGGCCAGGGATATAGCTCAGCAGCCTAAGGGTCTGCCTGGCAAGCACAAGATCATGAGTTCGATCCCCAGTACCAAATAAATAAATAAAATAAAACAAATAAAGTGAAAATAAAATGGGGTAGGGATTCTATTTCAGTTATAGCATACTTGCCTATGCATGCGCAAAACCCTGAGTGAAATTCTTAGTACAAACAAAAAGAATATACATATACATAATCATTTTCATTTACCTGTTAAAACACACAATATAATTAGGATGATATCATAAATCTAATAAAGAAGAACATTATACTGTAATAAAAGAATTGTTTTTGTCAAGAATGGTACTACACAAATATAATACCAGCATTGGGAAGCTACAGCAAAAGAACTGCCATGAGCTCAAGGCAAACCTGTACTATCTTATCAAACCAACATGAACTACATAGCAAAAACCTATCTCAAGAGGAGATAACAGTCATAAATATATATGTGACAAACATCAGTGCACCCAACCTTATAAAACAAATAATAATGGACATGAAAAATCCAATAAGCCCTAATATAAATGTATTGGGAGTCCTTAATACCTCACTGCCACAAAAAGACAGATCAACTGGACAAAAAATTAACAATGAAACATTAAAACTGAACCAAACTTTTGAACAAATGTACTTAGTAAATGTCTATAGAGTGTTCCACCCATGACATAAGAATACACATTCTTCTCAGCAGCACAGGAGACATTCTCCAAAGTAGACCACACACTGGCCCATAGAACATGCTTATGCAAACGTAAAGGAATTTAAATTATTCCATGCATACTATCATAGCACAGTGCAATAAAACAGGAAATCCATGCCAAAGGAAACCACAAGGACTTCATAAACATGTGGACATTAAATAGCACCCTACCGACCAACCAATGAGTCACAGATGAAATTAATGAAAATATTAGACAATTTTTACCGTTGAGTGACAACAATAGAACATACCAGAATTTATGAGACACAATGAAAACAGTCCTAAGAGGAAAATTTATTGCAGTAAATAATAACATAAATGCAATAACGTATGAAAAGAATGAAATCACAACAGACATTGCAGAAATTCAGGTTATCTACAATTACTCTGAAAAACTTGTATTCCAATAAGATGGAAAATAAGAAATGAAAACATTCCTAGATACAAGACTTACCAAACTTGAATCAAGAAAAAAATCCTAAATAAAACTATATCAATAAATGAAATTGAGGGCTGGGGATTTACCTCAGCAACATAAGCACCTTCCTTGCAAGCGCATGGTCATGAGTTCAATACCCGGTACTGATTTAAATAAATAAATAAAAATAAAATAAATGAAATTGAAGATGTAATTAAAAACCTATCAACAAAGAAAAGCCCAGGTCTTGACGGATTCATGGCTGAATTCTACAAGAAATTTTATGAAGACCTAATACCACTACTTGTCAGACTTTAATGAAATTGAAAAGGAAGCAATACTCCCAAATTCAATCCTGAAAGCAAACATTATCCTGATACCAAAACTGGGAAAGGACTCAGCTTAGAAAGAGAACCACAGGCCAATTTCACTAATGACCTTAGATGCAAAAATTCTCAATAAGATATCGTCAAACAGAATGCAGCAAATCATCAAGAAGATGATACACCATGATCAAGTGGGATCCATCCCAGAGATGTAGGAATGGTTCAACATGCATAAATCAATAAATGTAATACACCCCATTAACAGAGCTAAAGGCAAATGTCATATGATCATCTCAATAGATGCAGAAAAAGCTTTTGACAAAGTTCAGCACCCAGTGATGGTAAAAACTCTACAGAAAATTGGAATAGATGGTCTTTATCTCAATCTGATAAGCCAACATCATACTATATGGACAGAAACTGAAAGTTTTCACTCTAAAATCAGGAACAAGACATGGATGTCCACTGTCTCCACTCTTATTCAACACAGTCCTGGAAACTTTAGCTAGAGCAATTAGACAAGAGAAAGACATTAAAGGAATAAAGACAGGAAAGGAAGAAGTTAAACTTTATTTACAGATCTTTGAGATTTCTTTTCCACAATTACCTCTATGATATTCACTGACACAAAAATTTCTCTTCTACCTCTAAAAACTTGGCTTCTACTAAGAAAAATAAAAACAACATTGGCAAGATAATAAAAACTATAAGAAAATATAAGTATGTGCAAAAACCTTGGGAATATTTTTTCAACCTAAAGATATGTTGTTTTCTACTCCTCTCTGATAACAGTTCTAAAATCTAAAAATCTTACCTTTGGCATCTCGTAACAAAGACTGCCGACCAACACCTAGTAAGGTCTGTACCCCAGGAACACTCTGAGGAATCTCCTTATCTAGCAAAGGACCAATTCTCTCACAAATTTTAAGGAGGTAGTCTGGAGGAATGTGTGCATTGGCTGCTACCTAAAAAGCAAAAAATATAAGGAAAAAAATTTGGTTTAAAAGTAGGTCCTTTACTGAACTGTTCAGTCATGACGCAAAGCATAGTTTTAAAATACGAAGTCAGGAAAAACAAACCTTTATTTAAAACTTAATCAAATTTAAGAGAAACAGTCAAAAATAATCATTTAAATGACATAATACATTGAAATGGTATGACACTCTTACTTTTATATACCGTATCTTGATTAAAGTATTTTCTGAGTTGTTAATTTTAAGAAATATGAATTACCCAAGCACCAAAAGTAACCAAAATCAAAAAACACAAAGATGGAAAAACCCTGTATTAGTTGAGTTATTCAGTAATAATGAACTAATCAAAAATCTAAAGATCTAAATTCAATATGAAATAATACAAATGAAAGGGATTAACTGCACTAAATTCTCACTCAAGTCCTCTTACTTCTAACAGTATGTGTTTGTCCAATAAAGAGGAATTGTTATTCCTATACAAGGTAATTTGTTACCCAAAGGGTATTCAAGTAATGCTTTTATAAATACCAAATGAGATAACTTGATACAAGAGCTACGTGACCAAAATTCCCTAAAACACAACTAAGTTTCTGGACATGAGCAAATATACATGAATAGGAATTAGTTGATAAAACAACAAATCTTTTTTATTTAATCTAAACTAATAAATCTTTGATTTGTTTCATAAATACGTAAGTTTTAAAACAAGAGGAAACTAGAATATTGAAAGTCCTTAGCCAAAAAGAACATCTACACTCTCATGTTGACATAGGTCCTAAAATCATTCAGATAGAATGCTAATTTTATGTTTTATCATAAATATTCAAATGTCTACTATCACAAAAGGCATACATCAACAGGTTAAGAACAACAATGCAACATAAAATAATTCTGTAAGTCACCATGACAGAAGAAATTTCTGGTTTTGTTCATTACCATACTCCTAGCACTTAGAAAAGTGCTGAAATAAACCAGGAATGGATAATCATCTATGGAATACATCGATGAACCAATAAATGAATGAATGTAAAGCAAATTCTAACTGCAATAATGTTATCATAAGGAATCCTAGTGAAATAATCTCAGATTCTCTTCTCAGGGTATCTTGTTTGCCAGGGAAAAACAGTCAAAGAATTAATATATACATATACATTTTTCCACAATTCTGGGAATATATGATTCTATTATAAAAATTATTTCTCAAAAAGTTATTTCCTACCAATTATATTTTATATCCTGTAAAAAACAATTTTAATACACCAAAACAGGTAGAAACTAAACAATTGCCATGATGCCCAAGAACAACAAACAGATGATTTCAGACTTTCATCTACAAGGTTAAGCTTCTGAACTGAAGCAAAAGATTATGCAAATTCTTTCAATTATTTCTCATATTTTTAGTTTGGTTTTCTAAACAAATAATTATGTAAAAATATTTAAGTAATATATACAAATAATATTAAGGTCAAAGCAACTGACAGTTCAAATATTCCTTATTATCTACAAAAAGTGATCCTAAAATCCTACTTTATAATTCTTAACTTCCATTATTAGAGCATTTCCTAAGTATTTCCATATGCAAATATAGTTAGTACTGTAGCTAACTAAAATATACACAGCATTGCACACTAACTTTTATCACAGTTGTGTTTTTTTTTTTCTCCAACATTGTCTTGGATAAATCAGGCTTCTAGAGTTTTTTTTTATTTAATTTGGGGGGAGTTTTTTTTTGACACTGGATATTGCTATGTAGCCTCAAACTTGCAATTCTTCTATCTTCGACTCCCAGAGTGCTGGCATTACAGGTATGTCCCCACAACTACCTAAATTAGGCCTCTGATATAAATCATTACTTTTCAAATGCTATGTAAGGGACTTTACATAGGGTGAAAGTTGAAGTCTTTATTAACAACTTTGTTTGTTTCATCCTCTGACCAAGAGCTATTCACTAGTTATAAAACCTTAACTGCCCATCTTAGAAATGCAATGTACATAGAAATATATAATCCAGAAAATGAGAGTTCTCTAATTACAACTTTTAGATTTTCTTTATAGAAAATCTGACAGAATTATATCATAAACATATGTTTCCCAAATTATTTCACTCTACAGAAACAATGATGTCTGACTTTCAGCTTACTTATATAAAAATATTTGTTAGCCAGGCGTGGTGGCACATATAGGATTGCTCTGAGTTCAAGAATAGCCTGGGCTATGTAGGGAAACCTTGTCTTAAGAAAAAAAGAAGAAAGAAATGTTTGTCAACTCAATTATAATTCATAAACAAAATCATAAGTGGTTAAAATGAATCTATGTTCAGCAATTAAAATAAGGCCTATATATTCATAAATTCTCACTCGAATACCATAAATTATAAACAAATTTTATGAGTTTGATTTTTCCTCTCCATAATGTAAAATCACTTTCTAAGCAGTCCATTCAAAAATTCTTTCCTATAAAAAAATCAATAAAAATGTACAGTACTAGAGAAAAATATTCTTTTAAAATAGTATCAATAACAATTTTTTCAGTGAAAACATGTTAGATTCTCCATTACCCATTAACAGGTTTCCAGACTCTATCAGTGCTTGTACAATGATGTTTGTTCTACATCAAACTTTAGGTCTTATAAGTTGTAGTTAATGTTTGCTTTACTCCATTTTTGTTAACTAAAGTTGGAATTTTTTAAAGGCAATTTTATGTACCCTGAGTAGTTTTGAAGTTTTTTTTATAATTCCATATTTTAAAACACATACATATAACTATGCCCTTTTAAATATCCTACAAAATTCAGGCCTTAATATTATAAACCATTTTTTTCAATAAAGCACATTCTAATTTCAACCATTAAACATTTTTCTCCCTAATATAATGGTTGACTAACACCAAAGGAGAGATTTGATATCTACAGAAGAAAAACATCCTGTAAAGCTATTGGGCAGTGGTGTATGCCTGTAATCCAAGCTATATAGGAGGCTGAGACAGAAGGATCCCAAACTAGAAGTCAGCCTGGGAAACTTGGGGAAACATTATCTTAAAAATAAACAGTGAGTTAAAGTTGTAACTCCGTGCTACAGCATGTACCAAGTATGTATGAGGCTCTGTGTTCAATGCCAAGTATCTTAAAAAAATAAATAAATAAGGATTCTCTATAAACAAAGTTTAATGGCTAGTGTGGTGGCATGTACTTGTAATCCCATCACTCGGGAAGCTGAAGCAAGAGGATTACCACCGCGAAATTTGAGGTCAGCCTGGGATACACAGTAAATTCAAGGCCAACTACACCTGTACTACACAGCAAGACTCGATCTCAAAAAAAAAAAAAATAGAATAAGGAGGGGCAGTGGGGTTGAAGAGAGGAGAGGGAAATGGAAAAAAGAAATCAGAGCTAAGATATATCAAATACAGGTACAAATTCCCTATGATGAATGTGACCACTACGCATATCTAAATTGTACCAATAAACTCAATTATTAAAAGTAATAAAAAACAAAAACAAAGTTTAAGAATGCATCACAATTTATATATAGGCTCTATTATATAGGCTCTGTCTTAGCCTATATAATATCTCCCAGACATTAAACTATAGAATCTTTGAATAGGATTCTATTGCACGATCAACCTAACTCCCAAGTTTTACAGAAGGGCGAATAGTTTCAAAGAGAAGTGCAGGGCTTGTGATATAGCTCAGCAGCACAGTGCCTGCCTGGCAAGCACAAGGTCATGTGTTCAATCATCGTCACCAAAAGAAAAAAAAAAGAGAGAGGTGCAATCTGAGACTCTGGTCCACCATGTTTTTCTACTACTGTCATATAAAAGCAGTCACAAATTATAAAGCTAAAGAAAATTGACACAAAGACTACAAAAGGATGAAAACTATAAATTTGAATAAACTGAAAGAAAATTAAATGAACACTAAATTATAAACCTTTTCGATAAGAAGACTGACTGATCTAAAGCTCAATTCTCGCCAGGTTTGGTAGCATACCTACAATCCTAGGACTGGGGAGTCTAAAACAGAAGGATCACCAGGAATTTAAGGCTAGCCTGGGCTACATAGTGGTTACCATGAACTACAGAGTGACACCATGTCTCAGAAACAAAAACGAAAGCCAATCTAACAATAGAGTGCTGAATTTCAGAAGCAGAACAAGTGAGAAAACCAGAAAGCTCAGTGAGTTGATCCTACTCATCATAATTAGTTAAAAGAGATCCAGCTGGGCATTGACTCAAAGAAAAATGGTAACTTATCTCAGGAGGCCAGACCTACACCAAGAGATACTGGAAATACTAATTTTCAGATAGCAGTGGCATAATTGTTAATCCAGGCTTTTAGAAATAATAGCATCAAGCAAGTAAACCTAAAAACTATAGCACAAATCAGATGTTGTGGTGCATGCCTGTAACCCAGCACTCTGAGAGATTGAGGCACAAGGATGAAAAGTTTGAGCTCAGCCTGGGCAACTTAGTGGGTCTGCAGACCCTGTCTCAAAATAAAGAATTTAAAAAGAGTAGGGATTGTTGCTCAATGTGAATGTCTTATGGCAGTGGTGGTGAACCTATGGCACTACAGTGGACTGTTTGTATCATTGGAAGCTGAATTTAAAAGGTTTGCCATCAGTGCCACTGGAGATTCAATTCCCAGTACCATAAAAATTTTAAAAATGTAACAGAATATTGTGTATGTCCCCCAAATAAAATCATAGCTACAGAGGGAAAATGTAAACTCAAACTGAGATCATGTGCAGAAGAAGGAAAATGAAACACTGCCTAGTATTTTAAAGTTTTTCTGAAAAGGAGGCTAGAAGAAACACAAAAGCTAACAGAAAACAAAACAGATTTTGAAAAATAGAGCAAGGTAGGGAGAAGGGGGAGACAGAGCAGGGTAGGGAGAAGGGGGACGGAAGAGGAGTGAGGAATAGAGAAGAGTATAGTATAAATATAAACTAGGTATTTGAAAATCTGAACCCTTGGATTATTCAGGCTTTAAA